ACACGTCGCAATTAATATAATCTATCCTCTAGCAATGGCAATAAAACTATTATACGAGATGATAAATCGTCTAGTTCAACTGGTGTTATATGTTAAATAAATTAAAATTCTCAAAATATTTTAATATTATCTGTGTTATAATGTTATGCACATTATAAAAAGCCTGCTCCTCACATATATGTTTTTAATGATATTGTGAAAAGTTTTCTAACGGCTATAACCGGCAAGCAAAAGTAGCACCGAGGCATGACATAAAGTGGTAGACATCCGCAGGATATGGTCGGCCTGGCGGGTCGCGGACATGCACGCAGAGGTATCCTCGAATGGTATCTGGTGTGGTGAAAGTAAGTCATCAGATTGCCTGCCCACGTTTCTAGTCCTCACGTGTTAAATAGCGACACTACCGTTTTATTTTGGGATACGTAGCAAGTTTATTTATGTATATTAAATTAGGCAGTAAATTTAAATTTTACTGCGACATAAAAATCAGGGCACATCCTTTCGATGATAGTTTAATACAAACTTGAAAAATAACGTAAAATTTTGATTTTAACCTGCATGATAGCTTTACATATTTAAATTTCTGGTTGATGGCGTTATAACTAAATAACAAAGGGGAACCCCTCATCCTTTTTATTGTTAACGTGCTCATGTAGTCGCCTTCTTTGTGAATTATTGTTTAATCCAAGTTCTACTACATAAAGTCATGAAATAATTATCAAACTCAAAAGATGGTTACGTGAACCGCTTCAGACAATCAATAAAATCGTGTGAAGAAAAGCCAATATTCCATTGAGATTAAAATTCACAATCTTACAGCATAAAGTAGTTATGTATTTCTACATATCGCTCTTATATAAGAGCTGCAATGGCGTTGACAACGACAATAAAAATTTACGAACACAAGTTCACAATATGGTGATTATTCATGTATGTGTATTTTTATTCTGTTTCATCAAATAATACTATTCAGGAGGCCATGAACTTTTGACTCTGAGCATAGGCGCAGGCATAATTTCATTGTCTATTTGCTATACGTCAATGTCATATATATATTTCCTTTATCATTCATTGGTTCAATATTTTTTAGAAAACATTTAATTAATGTTAGGCTAAATTCACAAAATGATAATGTGTTTTGGAGAGTAGTGCGATGCGAGGCATCAGAGGGCAGAGCGGGGCGCGCGGCGTGTCGCTGGAGGCCGCGCTCGGCCGATGGCCCCGCGACCTATTTCCCCCGCCCTCCCCGCCCTACCCTCTCTCATCCTTTATCTCACTGATAACACAGACTCTCGGAGCAAATACCTAACATTTCGATGGCTGCCTCTTATTTACAGTAAGTCTACTGCCCTACAATACATTCTACATTTCCCATTTAATAAAATCATTAAAAGAAAAGTGATAACAACATTTCGTACATGCAAACTTTTACAATGTTTCCCCAATGGCGGATGCGCTACGTTACATCAAAAGTTAATTTCGCATAGTTGTGATGATCCCATATTTCGTTTATAACATCAAGGTTGAATGTTTATATCAAAAAAGTAAGTCTAAATCTCAGAATTTCCAGATTATCTTTAGTTACCTACGTAGATTACGGAAGCAAGTTTAAAAAGTTGCGCGAATCGCAATAGCTTCGGCGGTATGCGATCAATAAGAGAGCGAACGGGCGGGTCGGTTAGGGTCGTCGGGTTAGATAGGTGTTTGGCAAAGAGCAATGGGACAAAGCCTATGGTGGCGAGCCGGTCGCCAGGCGTAAGGCGCGAGGCGCGCGTCGCGGCGCGATCGTCGACCCGCCGTCTCAAGGCCGCTCTTACACGTGCCACCGGGCTTCCTGCCGCCGCCATAACAAACCTCTCCCCACCCCGCGCCTCACCCTCCTTGCCCCGTACCCCGTGTGCCCACCCTTGCCTTCCCAACTACGCAAAAACTCCCTAATATTCGATTCTTAGTAGCCCGCTTGAGGTTTCCTCGAGACAATTGCGAATATTGATTCGAAAGGACAAGATGTGTCGAGGAAGATATTATAACTCCACTCCGAAAATTTGATAAAAAAGAATCTATCCCGATTTGTCATAAATATTTCATTTTATGTTGTTTTTAAATAGAAGGATGTAGTTATCTACACTCATTATAAGTAAATAATTTGCATCACGTGTTTTTTTATTTAAAATTACGTTTATGGATGTTTTACTGTACTGTTTATAGGAAACGTATGTATGACCTTTTATGGATGGAATGTTTAACTTCGAAACGAGAGTCCATTTTCTAAATATTTTATACTGTAAATAACAGGAAGGAAATGTATCTAAACAATAGGTCTCCGGTCTTTTTTGGACTCACTTGTGTTCGGATTGGGTATCTAGGTTATAAATGGTATAACGTATAAAAATGTTTTACCTTTATCATTATCACATTATCATATCAATATAGCCAGGCCGACGGTGGTATACTTACATATTTTTTCGTTAAACCAGTTTATCGAACTACTACCAATATGGGCGTTGCCTGCCGATGATCAAGACACCTAGGCGTAGGCTAGACCTGGAGTGCTACCATTGACATGATCTTAGTCGAAGTTTTACATCTATTTTTTATTTTTCGACTATCTAGAGGGGTGGAGGGCAACTGTTTAGCTTAACAAAAATAGTAATGTTCAAAGTGTGGGTAACATTAAAACAGACCTTGATTGTTCACATTACGTCTAAACTGTATGAAGGGACCCGGGTACCTCGTCACTCTAATAAAGGTGTTTTATTTGTCACTCACATAAGGGTTAATAGTATTATTTCGAGTTCACTTGGATTGAAAACCATATGTTCTGCATTTTTCATAGTACATATGCCTTCCAGGGAATACTTTTTTTAGTATTCGTATTTCAACTATTTACTATTTATTGAAACCGATAGATAAGAACTATTTTTGTTCATTCCTTTTGATTTCTCGTCTATAAGTAATATATATTTTAACCATTAGAGCTAGAGTCAGGCCAGATTTTTTTTTTAATTAAGGATCGATAATACATAAGATTTATTGACTTGATTCGATCGATTTTTTATTATGAACAGCGATTATTATTTCAATATTTCAATGTATATGTTACTGTAAAAGCACAGATTGCGATAAATCTTAATATTTGGGGATAAAAACTAGCTTACTCTAAATCAAAATGTTTTTCGGATTTCCATATCGAGTATTATAGTTTAAACAGTCCTAGAATATCTTAGATGTTACCGGTAAGTAATAGGATTGACCGACGTTCGTGCTTTTACAGTAACATACACATGCATAATTCGTAAAGACGACCTTGTAAGCGCGGTTGACGTCGTGAGTCATTTAAAAATTATTTTCTTGTACTACATGCTCAGAAGTAGTATTTGAAGCTAAGTTTAGCTTGTACTGATAATAGATTCGAACCCTTACCATAGTTACACATCTTTACAAGAACAAAATGGTAGATGCCATCAACGGTGTGAAGTAGTAATAATTCCGTGTTTCGTTTGCGTATCGGAAGCCTAAGTCCTCTTTTCGTTTCCAACCTTTTCTTATAAGAAAAGGATGGGAATGGGAAGTGGATTTAACTGATGTGGTATGACATAGGAAAGGGAAATATCCTCTTTCTGTACATTCTTTTTTCCGTCGATTAGATAGGCAACGCATTTGCTTATGCTGCTCATCCAGCGGCGGCTTCGCTATTTCGACGAATTCGCAGGTCGCTTGCCACCTTATGATATAAAAAAGTATATACGAGTATGATCTAGCCTGAGACTACTGTTGCTATTTAAATATGGCTGAGTTTGATCCTCAGGGTCCCGGTAAAAAGACATCTAGGCTCCGTATTTTGCTTTATAGACTTGTAGCATATTAAATCGAAGCAATAAAATTTGATAATTTGTAGAGATAAATGTAAACCTACCAGTATTACTACTTCAAAATATATGACTCTATTCTTAAACCATTGTTGAAGAGTATAGGGTAATAAGGGACTTCGCCAGCGCGGAATATAAAAAAAAGTAGCCTGTAACACTTCCGCATCCATCAACTACTTTCTCGTCAAACTCCCGACAGAATCACTTTTGCCATACCACAGATAAATGCGGCCTTGAGGACACAAACAAAGAAAAGTAAGATTTGGTTTTTAGTTATTCGTAAATGCACAATGTTCAAGAAATACGAGTTTTATCCATATTACTATATACAGGCACTCCAATTTTATTATATGTATAGATTAAAATTGTATATTTGCAAAATAAATGTATAAACATTGAAAGGATTTATAGTCTTTAATTTAATTTCATCATAAGTAATCTCCAGAATAGATTGTTTCAATTTTGTACGATACAATATTTCTCAACATGTGACGTAATTTAATTGATTATGTTTTGATTGACAAATGGGTTACACTTCGCAAGTCCTTGTTACCTAGTGGCCGAAATTGACTTATCAACCGCAAACGACAATCTTGTGTTCACAATACATAATTAATATACTACGCGATTATTATCATTTTTTATTATTATAATAAGGAGATAAAAATACTTGTCAGTAAATGGTGACACTGGACTTACCTACAACTAGCAAAGCAAAAAAGTTCAAAGTTTTTATTGTTGTAAATTATGCACTTATAACATTTCGTTGTTTACCTTTGTTCAGGTTGAAGTTTGATAGTTAGATTAATATTAACAAATATGTAATATCTTTGTCAAGAAAAGTAATAGAACCTTATCTATATTAACTGAAGCAGATATTTAAAATCATTAAGTTCCACCTCAGCTATACCAATTTTAAAATGAACACACTGCAAATAAACTGTTACCTAATAAACAAGTGTTTCCACACATATGGTTATCCGTGTTATCTTCATATTTCTCTCTTTAGATTTTATATTCACAAATGTTATCAGATAAAAAAAATATTTACTAAACATGTGCGTGAAATGTAACGCAGTTCTCGCGATGCACGCCACACACGTGGACCAGGTCAATAAAATACAAGTGTTAACTTCTTGTTATAATTGTGGAGGCAGCGAGCAATTAATTGCCTCAAGTGGTGTGAGTGACACGATGACTTTTGTGTGTGAATGTCATTAGTATTAAGCTGTTGTTTTGGTAAACAAGAGTACGTATGCATTTTTTAATGATTACAATAACTGTCGTAAGTAAAAATCGACGAGAAAAGTACGATAAAATAATAATGAGATATGTATGTCCATTGCTATTTAAAGGCTTTAGTTCTATTCCAACTTTTTTTTAAATAATGGTCAATTTTTGAAATATCGATTAGGAAAAGGTCTACCTGGTGAATTACTTTTCTTGTTTTTTTATTTATTATTAGGCGGCTCTTTTCTGCCCTCTTGTTCCTCTAGCAAAATTTTATTTAAACTTGGGATTCTCTTTCATTTCTTGAAAAGCTTGATAATGTACTGAGGGGTCTATAATGAAAAATTATTCTCAGACTACGAGAAGACAGTCTGATGTTTCTGGCTATTACATGTGCATTTGCCTTAATGTGGCAGAATCATAAAATAATTTACAGATTAATTAATTTCCACGACGTACGTGGCGATGACGATGTGTTTCACTGTTGACGGACAGCGCACTCTATAGGTCATAATAATTGCAAAGATGGCAACAATCGTAATTAATACTTATTTTAAGATTCGTTAAACATCTGTAACTGCAGTTTAGTAGCTTTTGGTACACCGCAAACGTCACAACTATGTTTCTACATGGAGTTTGTTTAGTTTACTTCTACACGTATAAAAAAGGTTATCTTATAAATAACAAACAGGAGACACATTGTTTTGTCTCGATGATAAAGTAAAGATCAATATTATGCTTACAAAAAAACTTCACTGCTTTTCGTCTATAAAATATGGAAGCAAAAATGTTTGAGTTCTTAAAGAGGCTTTTTAAATGTACGTAGGTTTTGACATTATATGGAATTGCAAATTGCAATACATGCTCATTTTTGTTACGATCATAAATTAATAGACAGTAGTTAATAATTACCACATAATAAATAAATTGTTATTATTTTTTAACCAATTGATAATGTCACTGGCGAAAACCACACAGAACACACCTAGAAACTAGATAAAATTAAAGAAGAAATAATTCATTAAAGTAATACTAATATAAAACCATTTCATGTTGTGTGTGAATGCCATTCACGTGCTTGCGGGCTGATTAGCAAAACATTTGACACGGACACATCTTACTGTTCATTATTTTTGATATTTATATCACTTCTCCCTCTTATCGTTGCTCGTCGTACGTTAATTGTTACTGTGACCTATCTGCGTGACACAAAGACAGTTCTATAAAATTCTCAGAAACGTAATAACATTCGTTGATATCGATGTGATATGAATATACGCGTATGTTCAGCCGCAGGGAGTGTGTGGTGTAAATTTGTGGAGGTACTTAACGGGGGAAGGGTGGCAGGGGGTGTAAAACTTTAGAGCGGTAGAACCTTCGCTACGATAACCTAGATGCAAACGCCCTACGGCACTGCGGTCTCTGCAGTGTTACATTTTTGATAAATTTTATACAAAATATGATCGTACTTTTTTCTTTAAGAATATCGCTACTTCGTAAATCATGACCGTAAGCTAGACGGACGGAGGCAGCTGAGGTCCGTATCGATTTTGAATATGACGTCTTATCGTGGGTTTTCTATTTTGTCAGAGAGACGGAGAGGGATGACAACAGTTTTTGTACGTGTGTTTCATTTGAACTTTAGGCAATTGATTTAAGTTGAAGCATTTTATATAAATGATTCATTAATTCTACGAGTTGATCAAATTGTTGTAGGTATTCCGTTATCATAATCTATGTTTTGTAGTAAGTAAATCAACTAATATTGTCTGTTTATGTCTGTATTACGATGGGTAATTAAATCATTTCTGTCTACAATCTCTATACTACTTACTATCAATGTAATGTGTATTTTTAATAGTTCACAATATTTACCATTTAATAATGCTTTGAATTCAAGTCCGTACAAATTGTGTTTGTTTTGTGTATTTTTAACATGTGCAAACAACATGTTAATTGTTTGTTATTAACAAAGCAATTGTAGCGGTTTCGTTATAATTTGTAGGTTTTATGGAAAAAATATATATGAAATAAGATAACTTTCTTATATTTATTCTAAAAGTCGGTCATATTTCCCTTACGAACTTATAAAAATGTAGGGCAATGAATCCGAGTGGGTTGTTTATAGTTTACCACACGTAACTCGCACACTCACTCACGTGCAGCTGTAGGCGCAGCGTCTGTTGAAGAGTGCGCCCAGTTCTGTGACAAATCGAGGGTAAGAGGTTAGGATGAATGAAGCGCCAAGCTGTCACAGGTAAACTGTCATCGTTGCGAAGGCATAGTGTTATAGGAACAACATATTATTTAAAATATCGCATTCTATGTACTGTTCTAAGGTAGTTTTGTAGGGTTGAGTGGCGAGCAAAGGGTAGAGACCGCGAGGGGTGCAGCATTACATACTGACCGGTGAGCGCGGGCGGGTCGGCCGCGGGCGGCGGCAGTTCGGTGGTGTTGGATGGTGGCGGCGCGCTCGCGCAAGCGGGCGCCTCGGGCGCATCTTCCGCACCGCGCGCGGAGGGCGCGGGAAGCGCGTGGGGCGCGGGGGGCGGCGGCTCGCCGGGGGGAGCGCAGAGCGCGACCAGCCGCAGCAGCGCCACGCACCACCAGAGCACGGCGGCCAGCGCGCGGGCAGCGCGCCCGACGCGGCCCGGGGCCTCCTCGCGACCGAAATACGCGCACCGTGGAGCTGCGCACCGGTTCGCGAGCTCCTCACTCAGCTAGCAGACGACAGGCATGCGGCGGACGCTGCAGGACGCGGGTGCGCGCGCGCGGCCTCACGGCGACTGCGCCGGCGCCGCCGACCGCTCACGACCGCGCCCGAACACTATTTCGGGAGCGACGCTCCGCGCCACCGCCGCCCGCCCGCCGCACGCTGCCAATTTTACGCGAAATTGCGGGCGGGCGGTGATGCGATATGTACCGTAGACCGCGGCACCGGCGACGAGGCCGCCCGGCTCTCTTAAGGGGAGAAAGTTTTTTCATTGAGAGGGCCCAGGGCAAGCGGACCCGCGCCGCGCGTGCCGCTCTCCACTCGAAATAGTCGCCCCGCGCCGGCACAGCGCAGCGCGGCCCGTGTCAATAGCTACAATGTCGCACCGATTGGCAAAGGAACAGAGACTCGCACTATCTCACTGTCTCGCGCGCTGTGTTGTGAATTCTTATGCACGGTTTAAATTTAGACGTAAAATTATTTCTGATATAGATAGGTGTTTGACATTACGTTGAACTCGTACGCTGGGAAGCTCCACCTGTATAAATACTCTGCTCTGCCTCTGGCTGTATCTGCGACTATTTTGTGCAAATAACAAAATTAATTTAGGTAAATATCTATACCGCACGTTATCAGTTGTTTCTGCTAATATGAAAAATCAAAAACCCGACTGACTGTATGAAATTGAGACCAGGGGAAACATATAAATCGAATAACATTTCACACGTTAAAATTAATGAAGTGTTTGTTCTTTGGAAGGTTATGACACACACAGTGAAAGATGTCACAATATGTTTTTTATATCGCAAGGTAGCAAACGAGCATGCGGCCACTTGAATCCGACAAAATGGCGAAGCAACAGCTGCCCATAGACATCCGCATTTGCAGACGCGTTGCTTATCCTTAATCGACGGAGGAGAAGATGCATAAAAAGAGGATATTTCCTGTTCTTAAGCGTCTCCTCCACCGTCAAATCCACTTTTCCTTTCAATTGTTTCTTCTAAAGAAAGCGGTGGGACGGAAAGGGTACTAAAATAAGGCCTCCGACACCACACTCATCAGACGAAACGCGGAATTGCTCCCACTTCACGCTTCTCTTCTGTGTGGTCGTGGTATTGCACCGGGCGAGCCGGCCCATTAATGCGAAGGTGTTAAAGTGGGCTCTTCCACTTATAAACATCACCTCGTTTTCCGTCACAGTAACAATTGATAAATAAATGTACATAATATAATATTATGCAATTCGAAATCTAAGAACTTATTAGTATACGGCGGGGATCGAACAACTGCGCCAGCATCGCTCTTAATGTGTAAATGCCAACGATTTATCATTAAAAATTGAGAATATGAGTAAGTGAATAAACAATATTCATAACGTTCTGTTATTGTAATAGTTTATTAATAATATACTAAACATAAATAACTAAATTTATCCACCACTTATCTAATCCGAGGCCAATAACAACAATACAAAAAAAAAGTTTGGTGACTTCTTTATAAATCTTTTCCTTTCTGGAGAAAACTTTGCCATGGATAAAAGATCTCTGTTATTCTAATAATTACTACTTACAAAATAAAGAGAACAATTTTCAAGTTATTATCATATTTTTAATAACAAAAAATCTAGCATGAAAATTATGCAAACAGTGTAACTATTCTAGGAACGAAAATCTTGTCGCATTGCCCTCTTTCCCGTTACACGCACAAGATGGCGTTGTAAATGCTTTCCTCTCTTCTTCGTTTGTTACGATAATTTATATTATACTAGCTTTTGATTGCGACTGCCCGCACGGATATAAAAAAAAAACCTTAATAAGTAACCTCCGTATTCAGTCAGACTATGTTCTACTTGTAAACCAAATTTCAGCAAGCACGGTTAAACCGTGCTGAAAATACCTTCTAACATGAATCCACCCATCCATCCATACTTTTGCTAATTCATAAAATTAAGTACGATAATTAACGTAAAGTTTTGTTACCTATTTAGAAAACTTTCAGCAGAAACCAAAGTTTTTCAGGATTGTTTACTGGAAAGGGATTTTAATAAAA